TTCTCTACTAGACTACAAGCTCCACAAAGGAAGGAGACTATGCTTATTCATTTATTAAGCATATACGAGCTTACTCTTTGGTGGCCTGTTAAAAAACCTATATGCCAGCTATTGTTGATTGGAGGATAAATGAAACGGTGGGTACGATGGGTCTACCAAGTGTCCATCGCATAGTAGCACGAAACACATGTGAATACCACTCGTTGAGATCTAGTTTATCAAAATTCACACCACTTAAGCCAACAAAATGCAAGACAGACCAAAATAATGGTTCGTGTCTAGTTGGATAAAACATCATGTAATATCTGGCTCTGCTCTTATTTAGAAATTCTATTATAGGCTGCTTCATCCTAGTAGAAGAACGAATACCTGCAATATTATCATGAATTTAAGTTTTCATGTAGGGTCACTGTTGATCATCAGTGAAGCAGCTGACAAGAATTTATTGAGAATTAATGATCTGCAAGCCCCCGTGGTCAGTCTTAGGTGAGTGATAGGGCAGTGTGAGCCAAGGGTTCTGCCTAACGCAAGGTGATTAAATCCTTGATGGAGAGATAATACATGTTCAGTCGACTAGACAATTAGGTAGACATTGAAGGCAGTAACTGTTATGGGTTGAATTGTGCCCCACCCCCCAATTCACTTGATGAAGTCCTAACCTCCAGTACTTCAGAATGTGACCTCACTTAGGAATAGGGTCACTGCAGATATACTTAGTTATGATGAGGTCATACCGGAGTACAGTGGGCCCTTGCTCCAATATGACTAGTGTGCTTATGAAAAGGGGAAATGTGAACACAAATACAAGCACATGGGGAGAATGCCATGTGAAGAGACAGAGAGAAGACAGGCCATCCACAACCCAAGGAGAGAGGCCTGGAAAACATCCTTCCCTCACAGCCCTCAGGAGGAAGCAACTCTGCTCACACTTTGGTTTCAGGCTTCTAGCCTCCAGGACTGTGAGATAATAAATTTCTGTCATTTAGTTTGAGGTCCCTTGTTACGGCAGCCCTAGCAAATTAATACAGTGATAAACACTAAATTCTTCTCAGGGATCAGGGTTTCTGGACCTGGGCACTGTGGACATTTGGGGCCAAATAAGTCCACGTGGTGGGAGTCCATCCTGCACATCATAGGATGTACAAGCATCCCCGGCCTCTATCCACGCTGCAGATGTGCCATGTCACACACACACACACACACACACACACACACACACACACACACCCCTTTTCACTGGAACCTGCACTTTACCTGCTACTGTTTTCAAAGAAGAAACAAGTTCTAGAAATTCTAAGGAAAGAAGAAAAAAAAGTCTAGCTAAGTACTCACAACATTCCCAATTGCAGATAAGGCACAGGACTTTCAAAATTATGGAAACTTACAATCTATAAATGAAACCCAAGAGTGAAATCCCTCGTCTTTACCTCTAGATGAGAAAGACTACGCAGGAAGGCGGAGCTTTAACTGGAACCTTTATCAAATGATGACAGAAGTCCAATGGGATGACTCATTGAAATGGGCATCGTACAAATAAACTCCTAGAGCCAGCCTTTAGAGTCACAAATGCAAAACAATGGTTTGGACCTTCAGCATCAGCTAACTTGAAGTGGGACTGTGCCGAAGTTGAAGGGCAAGGAAAGGTCAACTCTTCTCAGTTTGTATATTTTTACAGGTTTAACTTGAGAAAAGAAACAAGAGACCCAACACTGCATGTTGGAACAGAAAAAAAAAATGTAATTATTGCATTGTGACTCCTTGAAAACTCTGCAATACATTGTATTAAATTCTCTTACATGTTATGTGGTTCACAAATCAAACTTTTAATCCAGGCTTGAGGACTGAGAGGCTCCTTAAAATCCAATTCAAATGATACAAGCAGGTCCACATTATGACATGCTCCATTTAGAGACATGCATTTGGCAGGAAGACTTTTCTCTTTTTATCTTAAAATCGAGTTCAGGAAATGCTGGTTTAATTTTCTCTTTGCTTCAATATTTTATGAGTGCTTCCCAATGCATAGTCTCTGAAAGCACTAGATTACTGACACAGTGCTATTTCAGATGACATGGAAGATTTTATTTGCATGAACTCTACATGTTGGAATTTTTATGTTTTTTTTCTTTTGTGCCTGGAAAGAGAGTTGTAGTGTACAAAAGTATATTCCAATTCTTTACACAAGCACGTGTATATATACTGAGACCTAATATGAGTAAAAGTGGCCCCCGAGGTTTAAGATCAGTGCGAGAAATAACTGTTCTTCATAATCATTGCAGAATTCCCATCTTCAAATAATGGACTATTTTTAAGGAATATTTCTTTAAAGATTGCATTTTTATTTATTTGTCAGCGAGAGAGACAGAGAGCACAAGCAGGGGAAGCGGCGGGCAGAGGGAGAAGCAGGCTCCCTGCTGAGCAGGGAACCGCACGAGGGACTCGATCCTAGGACCCCAGGATCATGACCTGAGCCGAAGGCAGACACTTAACTGAGCCACCCAGGGGCCCCAAATAATGGACTTTTACTAACACAAGAACACATTTTCCAAAAGGAGACACCTGCGTCCTTACATATCCAAATAAGTACAGCACATCTGTCATCTTCTCAAGGAAAGCACCCTCAAATTTCTCCACGCTTTATATTTCCACACCGTCACAGATCTATTTCCGTACGAGATGCTAAAGCCTCAGAAAAAGACACTTACAGAGCACATTCACTTGTTCAGACCAAAGTAATAATTAACAGAAAATACCCTTCCTTGGTTTTGGTCCTTTCGGTATGCTATTACTTTCCTCAAAAATTAATGTCCATGTTGTACTTGGGTTTTAAACCCAAAAAAGCACATATGTGCATAAATATATGATACCTGAAATATCACAGACACCCCAAATGTCAATATATTCTTATCACCTTTTTATTCTAATGCAAGTGGTGTGTTTTAGGACAAACACGCTATGCTAGCAGGTTACCTGTTTAAATGCTCATAAGCATATTTTGTTGAGTGGCTGTAAATGCGCTTTGGTGCAGTGGGTGCTGTTTATATGCTTCTATTTCTGTAATTAGAAGATAAAATATACTGCACTGTTAATTGTCAGGCCCTTCGGTGACAGTGTCAACGACCGCTAACCCACGGGCTTGATGAGACAAGTGTGCAGGGCTCATAATTGAAGAGCTTCATTTTCATCACAAAAAGAGCTTAGAGCATGATAGTCTCTCCTCATAAATCTGGAGATGTTCTGTAAATAATTAATAACTCCTCTCTGATAGTACACAAATAATGAGCAGAACTTGACTACCAAGTTTAAATATCAAGTCTGGAGGCTGCTGAATACTGAACATCTATCATTGTGGTGTTTCAACAATTGACTGTTAAAAGGCAGTGTTAATCCAGTCAAAGGAAATTTCTCTTGATAAAGACTCCCGTCCGCCATGTTCACATTTTGGAAAACAAAATCACCTATGTCCAGTCATCTTAAACATTCTGTCCCCAGCCAAAAAGGGGCAGAAATGATCACCTTGGCTTCTGAAATCGACTGCCATGTCCATTTCCGAAGAATATTGGAGGCACAATGCGCACACATGCGTTGCCTTTGCTAGCATTATCTCTAGAGGCGTGTTTTTGGCTAGTACCATGCACTATACTAGAAAACCAGTCGGCGTCTGTCTCCCCTTGTCCCCAGCACCTAAGTCCTCGGGCTTAACTTCTTCTCCGCGTTTACAGATGGATTTGCACCAGCAGTCCTTGGACACTTCAAAGTGAGGCATGCTGCCCAGGTTCCCCAAGTGACATTCAGAAGCAGGATTCACTTCAGCTCACCAGTTTCCCTCAGCATCTCAAGAAACAGCCTGACCAAATCACAGGTGTGGTCCATTAATCGCAGCATCACAAAATAAACCACGAGGTCCCGGGGAACGCAACCACCCATTAGCGCGCTAAGGAAAAGTGATAGGAACCATTTGTGAGAGGTGACGATGTGCCCTGAGTGATAACACTCTCGATCATGTGTTTCATTTTTTGTTTGCTCAACAACACGGTGTGTGTTTTTCCTGAGAGGAAGGACTTCAATATATATTTACTCAAAGCTCTTAATTTATACTTCCTTTCCTTTTAATTGGCGTCTTGTGATCTAAAATTAACCGGTGAGCATAGTCTCTCACTATTAGAGCAAACTCTCGGCTGAGTTCGCCATAATTAGACCCACCATCGCCTGAAGTTCGACAGACATCTGGAGACCTGACTTATTTCTTCCCTGGTGCACTCTATCCATATTTAGAGAGTGATTTTTAATTTGACGTATAGTCATATTAATTATCAACCCCCGAGCTGGAGCTAGGTTAATAATTTCACGTTAAAAGTGAAGTTCACACAGCCCCGCCTGTAACCTTACTGAAGAAAAAGCCTACACGAAAAGGAATTTCTTGGCGAAACCCGAGATGGTCAGAGCGCTCGAGCTCCCCAATAAGCCGGATATCATTCACACAAGAAATACAAGGTCACATGTCCTCTAAAATCCCACACTTGCCATAGGCATTCCTCCCTCTATCCTTTTGTTTGTGCAAGTAACTGGATACAGGTACGATTCGGGTGAAATTAGCTTTCGTTAATGAGTGAAGAAAATAAATGCCCCCCAAATGCCCAAAGCCAGATTTTTATCGGTCATTCCTTCTTTCCTTCTCCCACCCCCACCCCGCCCCTCCCTCTCTCTCTCTCTCTCTCCCTCCCTCCCTCCCTCTCTCTCTCCCCTGCAAGGACTGAAAATGATCCAGATCTTTCAAATTCGCCCTCACCTTGACAACGCGAAAATTACAAGCAGCAGTCAACTTTTACAAGATACCCTGATTGTGCAACATTTACAGGCTGCCAAAAAACATGCTAAAACTAATCAGATAACAAAGGTGAAGAGAAAACCTTCACCTGCCACGCAGCTAGTAGTGAATACACTTTTTATTCCCATGACATTTGCTGGCAGAAAGGGGTTGGCTTAAGGCGGATCGGACTAACCTTCAATTTGTCATAGCGCTCACTCAAAGCTGCCACCTGATGATCTCGGTGCCGCCCAACCAGTTTACACAAGGCACAGATTAACTGGTCATCAGTCACACAGTACATATTCACCTTCTCATCCTCATGCTCCAGGCACATCAGCCCCCGGATGTGCGAGTCCGGAATTGGCTCAATCAGACGATGGCCTGTAAAGGGCTTCTTGTTTGGGTGAGTGGCTTTCAGGCACTCATCACAGTAGGACACTTCACAAGTGACACAGGTCTTCACAGCATCCTGGGCAGGATCCTGGTCACAGAACTGGCAGAGAACTTTCTCGGCGGAGGTCATGGTGTTGGCGTCGAATGCCCGCTCCCGGCGGGTCTCGCTAGGGGAATTGGGCCCGCTCACGGATGCCTTCTGGAACCTGTCGATGATGTTCTGCAGGGTGACGTTGCGCTTGAGTCCGTCTAGACCTCGCTGGCTGAGCGTGATGACATGTCGGCAGGTGGGGCACTGGAAGGCGGTGATGGACTCCACAGACTCGTTGGTGGCGCAGTGTGACACCAGGATGCGGTGGGCGCAGTTGAAGCAGAGGCTGTGTGCACAGGGTAGCAGGAGAGGGTCCTCAAAGAGCTCCAGACAAATAGGGCAGGTCAGCTCCGACTCCAGCGTTTCCATCTTCAGGCAAAGCTCTCCTGGGTCATCAGCAAAATCCAAGGAAGCTGATCAGCTATCTGGAAACAGAACGTAAGATCTGATTAGGCGCGAGGGGGTCAGCCATGGGGAGCTGTCAGCTTTGAATGCATCTCAGAATAATTCCAAACGCAGGTCATGGAAGGGTAAATGCGTGTGCATTCCAAATAATTCTCTTTCTATTCACTGGGGGAATGAGGAGGGGAGAAACACCCGAAGCCAGCATACCAACTAACATTTTCTCAAAGTTCCCAGTCACCGAAAGCAGAAAAAAAAAAAAAAAATTTTTTTTTTTTCTTCGCAATTTTGTTTGTTAAAAGGCCTTACTCCAGACTGGCAAGTTATTGAAACTGTAATCTCCATAATTTGTATCTAATGACAATAATCTTATTGTGTCACGGCCAAGTTTTACCTTGTGTGGAGAATTAAAATGTAGAAATGTTAATTAACGAACTAGAGTCTTTCCTAACTTTGAATTGATGAACTTACACGTGAATGTTTATGCGTCTGCAGGACTTTTTACGACACCACCTCAGGCTTCAGAGAAGCAGAAAAGCGCTTCTTGTGGAAATGACCATGAAATGTGCATGAGATCAAAAGCATGACTTCAGCGGAAATGATAATGCTTAAATATGGGATGTCAGCTTCCAAAATATATTCCTGCGAAAAAACACTGACTTTCACAGAGATGATTGTGATCGAGGCCATGTTTTTTGGCATGTGTTCGTTACTCTCTTGAATAATTCTATTGTTTAATCCAGCAGTGGGATGTGGGTGGGCAGAGGGAAGCAGAGAAAAATATCTGCGGGCCTTTTCAGTGGCTGCGGTGAACCTGGGTACCAACGACTAGTAACGATTTAGTTAATTAGGACAAGGATTTTCATGGCTTCAATAATCATTTGATAAGTTATTAGCAGGGCTAACGACTGCAGTACAGGCAGCAGCTCAGGGATCCTGCGCAGCCCGCCTGGCTGAAAGAGTGCCATCGAGGGCTTGTCCCTGTGGCCAGCGACAGGCCAGGCCAGCAGGAGGTCCAGCCTCACACCCAGAGCCCTGCTGGCCCCGGGCTGGGTCTCCGCGAGCTTCGTCGCTCCCCGCCAGGCTGCCTTTGGGTGGCCCAGCTGCACGCTCCCCGCGCCCCGAAGATGGGGTGTTGCTTTTGTGAACTCCTGCCTGCCTTCCCTTCGGAAAGGGCAGGGGAAAAGAATCCCACACAGACCCCAGTTCATTACCGGGAAAGAGGCCTCGTGCTCATTAGCAGGCCTGGGAACCGGGCCTCTTTGAACCATCTCCCTTTCAAGACCGTTAGCAGAGGTCTGCAGAACAGCGCCGGGCATATTAGACGCAGTCCAGTGCGGCCTGTGGGAGAACAGTGCAGCTCACCCAGGGGACGCCAGGTTCCAATCACCCTCGGGGGAGGGAGGGGGGATTTGGGGGGTTCTTGGCCCGCTTGATGGGAAGGCTTCACATCCACAGCTACCGTTTAGTGATTCGGACAATCGGCCTTTTTTTCACACCTCCCTTTATTTACAAAACTCGCGATTTCTAGAATGCGCTGCCCCTTTCTGAAATAGCATCCCTCAGAAATACCATGTGGGGCTTTGGTTAAGCTAATGCTCATCTTGCCATCAACTGAACAGGAACTAACTGATCATTAAAAGCGTCAAGTATGTGCTGAGTTTGTTAAAAATTAAAGAGCTGCCGGCTTCATAGAAGCCTGGTATCTTAAAAAGATCTTTAGCCATTCGCGAATATTAACTACACGAGGAAAATAAGCGGGCAGCTGAGATTTGAAATATGAAAGCTTGCTCATGTCTGCACAACCCGCAGTGGCAACCACAGGGCTGCTGTGGGGAGACACCTGCCGTCCCTGCTTGGTCCTAGCCACCCCTTCTGACAGATGGCTTGGACGAAATTGAAAGGGTTTACCTATTAATCATTATTTTGGTTAATCGTGGAAAAACAGAATTATCTGTAAATCGGGTTTCTTCTCTCTTCCCATCGGAAGAAGGTAAATTAAAGGGAAACCGCCGCCCTTTTGGTCCGCTTTGTTCTCAGGTGCGACAAGAACGCCTGCCGATAGATCTCCACACAGGGATGAGCCCCAATTATGTCTGGAGAGCTGCGAGGACTGTATTTTTCTGCAGGTGCCAGGATTCCATCCCAGCGTGGTGCAATCACAATTTCTAGAGGTGATTCTACCCCTGGCCCCGGTGGAAACGCTGACATCTGAGTCAAGAGACGTTAAGTGAGCTGGCTCGCAAAGCCGGAATCTGGCACCCTCACCATCCCGGCTCCGTGATCGTGGGCCAGCCAACGTCACACCTTACCTGGATTGTCACAATACCTTTCCGAATGGTTTCCTGCCTTCTGCTCACTCTGGCCCCCACCCGCAGTCTTTTACTCCCGAAGCCAGAGATCCTGTTAAAACATGACCGAGCCTGCCTCTTCTCTGTTCTCCCCTCCAGGGGCTTCCCATCTCCCTCAGGGAGCAACTCAGCAGAATAAAACCAGCCCCAAAAAACAGACTCAGACAGTGACTTCACTTCCTCCCACGCTAGCCCTCGTTCGGCTCTGGGCACACGGCCTCCTTGTGATGCCTCCAACGTGCCAAGCACGTCCCATCTGCCCTCCCAAGGTCTTTGGAATCCACGTGACTCTCTGCGGCAGTGCCATCTCTTTGTGAACCCACGGAAAACCAATTCCCCTGCTACCCCCACGACCACCTACCCACCCATCACGGCGATCCTCTCCCCAGCTCGCCCTCCCCGCCCCACCTCACTTTGTCCTTCTCCATTAACTTTTGTCACCCAACATATTCTACCGGTTTGGTCACTGAGCCATCATCACTCCCCGCTGCCCCGCCGGAAGAAGGTAAGCTCCATGTGAGCAGAGACTTGGCTTGGCTCTTTGAGGGACGTCCTGCCAGCCCCTGGAACGGCGCCGTGCACACAGTGGGACTCAAACATGGGTTGAATGAGTTGGGAAACATACAGCTGTTGGGGTTAAAAACCTCAAAGAACACAACACCGCTGTCTCAAAGGATCTCGCAACATATTGGAACAGAGGTCAGCAAACTTTTTCTATAGGGGGTCAGAGAGTAACTATTTTTGGCACTGCGGGCCAGACGGTCTCTGATAACAGCTGCTCAGATGCAGTGTTGTGGCACGCCAAAGCCATCATCACACACAACGCACAAATGAGTGCGTGCGGCTGGCCAATAAAATCGGATTTACAAGGGCGCCTGGGTGGCTCAGTCATTAAGCGTCTGCCTTCGGCTCGGGTCACGATCCCAGGGTCGTGGGATCGAGCCCCGCATCGGGCTCCCTGCTCGGCGGGAAGCCTGCTTCTCCCTCTCCCACTCCCCCTGCTTGTGGTCCCTCCCTCGCTGTGTCTCTGTCAAACAAATAAATAAAATCTTTAAAAAAAGATCGGATTTACAAGAACAGGTAGCAAGCTCCATTTGGCCCGAGGATCTTATTTTGCTGACCCACGGAGTAGAAGATAGAGACACATACAACCAGACACCAGAGAAGTGAGAATCCCTCCCAAAGAGACAGGACTAAAATGCTGTGCGGGCAACAAGGGAACAGCGGTGGAGTGGGACGTGGACAAGCAGATACAAGTTTCGAACGCTAACGGGAAATGATAGGCAATGGGATTTCACCCTGACATCAATGGAAATAGTGTTGAGTCGAGTGCTTAGGGGCACTTCACTTAAGAATGATTTAATAGCAGCTGCTCAGAACGGGATCTTTTGCTTTCATTGCCATAGCGCTTGGAATGGTGCTTTGTGCAAGCATCTACGCTGTAGATGTTGGTTTAAGGGTATTAAGTGATGACTAAATATCTGGATGCGCAGTGAGGTTCAGCCAATTTTCGGAATCTTGTGCCCATATGTTGCCAAAAGGGAAGGGGCTCTGGGTTCGTTATCTATAGTGGGTCTGATTTTTTTTCTCCTTTGATGCAGATCTTGCTGTGGTGTAGGTAATATTTTGGTGACATTACTCGACAAGATGTCACTGGTAAGCACGCACGCTATTCCCCCACCCAAGAAAATTAGCGTGGTTTATTTTTTAGCTTTTTGAGAAATGAAAATACCATTCATTCTTTCACCAAATATTGAAGCCTCTCTAGGTTCTTGGTGCTGGGACAAGTAATGATAACACTTGGCCCCTGCCTCAGTGATCTTATGGGGAGAGAAAACAGCATAACAAAAGACACGTGCCAAAGACGGGGGGGGGGGGAGAAGAAGATGGGAAACTTCCCGAAGGAGGCAATATGTGAGAAGGATTTTTGAAGACGAACAGGGGTTCACCAAACAGGTGTGTGTGGTGGGGAGGCGGTTTGCGAAAAATGTTATCTTTTCCTTTTCTTAAGTCCCATAATTTAATGTCTAGGCCTCAAAAAGAGAGAGACAGATTCTTAGCCTTTGCTACAATAGAAGGAAATCACACGTGCATATCATTGTCAGGAAATTCTATAGCTCAACATTTTTCTGAATGGGCTGATTGGTCCTCATTCAGAGGAGGATGTGGGTAATCATGGGAACCCCTTGCAACAAAATGGGAATGGTGACAATTTACAGCTCACACCTCTGCTTGTCCACAGTTTGTAGTCTAGAACAGGGCATGGAATAGAGAGAAAGGAGAGAGCCGGATGGGTGGCCAGACGGTTGAGGATGACACGCAGCTCGGCTATTTATTAGCTGCGTGGCCCTGGGACAGCGTCCACAGATGTTCCCTCCAGTTCCTTCCAGCACTCCCTCCAAACGATCCCCAAGCAGGACCGTCCTTAGCCATGGGCTGCACTTCAGCCCCGCTTCCTGGGACGCACTGGATGCAAGACACCTTTTCCAGAAGCTTTCTTACAAATTCAAGACTTCCGAGGAAAACCGATAATGTCAAGGTTTTCACACCCCTGTCTTCTTCCTCCTGTCCCACCCTCTCTCATTCCGTGTGTCACTGAAACTGTGCTCTTCTGGTTTTCCTCTCTCTAAGCACTGCTGACTTCTCCTTCCAGTGAAGCAGAGCCTGGGTGTTTTCTAAGGGTCCGGCCCTCCGCCCAAAGGTCATCAAAGAGGGTCAAAAGGTACAGACCTCCAGTCGTAAAAGAAAGAAGCCCCGGGGGTGTAATGTACAGCGCGATGGCTGTAGGTAATAACACGGTGTGTACAAATAGGGAGTCAGGTTGCACACCTGAAACTAATGTAATGTTATATGTCAATTACACCTCAATTAAAAACAAAAAAAAGCCATCCAGGTTGTTCATTCGTTTCTCGTACAGCATCTCTGAGAATGACTCCTAGGCTTGTCTCTCGCAGGGCCATCTCTTTCCAGAATCCCAGCTCAGCACGGAGAGTGCTCTGCTTCATTTACTGTAAGTGCCTCAATTCGGAGTGTGCGTCTTATGGGTTTCATCAGCTTCCCTCCCAAACCTGTAGGCCCTACAAGCCTCTGGCGTCTCCTCACGGTGCTTCCGGTCTCCTGATCACGGCAAGTCAGAAACTCGCCTCGTGAGGTTGCTACCGCTGGCCTGAAAATGGGGGAGACCAGTGCACGATCCACGTGCACTGGATGGAATCACAGGGGCCCTCACATGTGGAAATGAGAGGCAGAAGAGTAGGGCCAGGGGATGAGATGCAGAAAAGACTCGATGACCGTCGCTGGCTTTGAAGATGGAAGGGCCACAAGTCAGGGAATGTGAGCTGTTTCTAGAAGCTGCAAAAGGCAAACAAACAGTCTCCCCCAGAGCCTCCCGAAGGAACGCAGCCCTGCAGACACTCTGCCCTCCAGTGTGGTTTAAGCCATCATGGCACTGGTAATTTGTTCCGGCATCAAGAGGAAGCCACACACTCTCCTTCCCCCAAATCCAAATCATCAGTCAAGACATGTGAGGGTCAATCCCTCGTTCTTTGATTGGTTTCCTTCTCTCTGCTCTCACTGCCTCTGGGTTGATCCAGATCTTCCTTCCTGCGTTCCTAGACTATTACACCCCACTCCCCCCCCCACACACACACACACAAACACCTCCTAATTTGATTCCTTACCTCCCATCTTTTTGTCCCTCAGTTTCATCTTTGCCACATGCTTCTGGCACCTCGGCATTTTCCTGTCACTTCTCTTAGAGGCCCACACATTGAGCAGCTAGCTCCCTGCTGGCCAGAGGAGGAGTCCCGATGGATGCCTTAGCTCCTGTTTCAACACCTTGCCCAAGTGTCTCCCAAACTGCTTCTTCAACCTGACTCCCACACACTCACCTCCCACCCCGGGGACCTGGGGGATGGGACCATTTGCTGCTCTTAGCAGCTGCCTTTGCGTTTCTTCCTAGCACAGATCCTTTTCCCCTTTGTGAGAGTCTTTTTTTTTAGTGTGTTTCATGTTTATTTTCTTGTTTTTGTTTTCTGTTTTTTTTTAAGCTGACGGCAGAACCTCCTAGAGGCTCAAAGAACCCTGGCCATTGTTATGTTTGGAGATTTCATATTAAACAAAGAGTTGTTTTAGAAGATGGCTATAAATAGTGCGACATGTCTTAAATGTTTACAATTAAGGTAAAGCTTTTAGCTGAAAACCACAAAGTGGTGTAACTACCATATTTACAAAATAACCGAAACCTTCATTTAAAAATAGTATTTCCTGGTACGCAACAGAGTGATCAGTAATGGGACTCTGGTTTAAAGCTACATGATTCATCCCCTTCTTTCAGTAGAGCTGGATCAGCTCTGGGACTGAGACAGGCATGCACGCGCGAGCGCAAACACAAACACAAATCTCATGCGGAGTTAACACTCATCGTCTAAATCTGAGGCCGATCGTAAATGGGTGGCCTGAGCCAAATGACCACCAACTCCTCAAAATCCCCCAAGATAAATCTGGATGTCAGAGGCTTGTGCCTTTTGGGGTTAAGAAAAATTAATCAAGAGAGAGATGGACAGCGGGCAGCGAGGGCTTGCAAGGATGATCGGACCTTGGCATCCAGGTGATGGCTAAGGTGATCTGGCTGAACCAGCTGCCTGGGCAGATGGCCCCTCGCCCCCTCTGGGCCCCACGTATCATCATCCTGAGGTAGCACACATCCCAGGAGGAGGACTTTCCTGGAGGGAGAAGGGCTTTCTTTTGTCCCAGGTGCGGGCTCTTGGGGGAAACGGACTCAAGGAGACAGTCCCCAGTAGAAGAGGACGGACACCAGGACTTAGTGGAGATACAAGGTTTGGAACTGAGAAGGGAGATGGGGACCTCAGGCTGGATGTCCTTATGGGTTACTGTTCTCAGCCAGCGAGATGCAAGTGAGGAGGAAGCTTCGTGGCTGTTGGAGTCATCTTTTCTGCCCTCTCCTCTGAAGTAAGAGCAAAACCATCGTCTGGGCAAGTCCATGCAAAGAAAACATTCAACCCCCTGCCTGTGCTGTCACAACCCTTGCCATCATCTATTGTATTAATTCGTTACTTTAAAACTTGAGGCTCTGGGAATAAAGTGGTGAAATTTTCTGGACTTCGGCAGTGACACAGAGAAGAGAACCTGCACCTTGAAGGAACAGCGGGGAGCCCTTGTGAAGAAGACACGCATTGCGAGGTTCAACCCGTGGCCAGTGTCAGTGAGCAGGTCCAGGTCAAAATCCCCAGAGTATGGAAGTTTCACCCATATATGCAAGTGACCAAGAATTAGAGGAGTCTCCAGACCAAGTGCGGTCTCTGAGTTCAATCACCCACTAGAAGGAGCTACCTGATTGTCAGCATGTCATCCAGGAGTTTCTTAATTCCAAATTTCTCTTAACGGTGTTTTGACATTTTAATCATAAGGTAAACCCATCTCTCAGCGCTTCCCTGCAGCTACCCTATGTCATGTCTGCAAACTCCACGAACAATGATCACTTTTCTGATTTGGAGTGTATGACAAAGAGCACACATTCCAGCCACCAGTCATTTTACTCTCAGTCCCTCACTTTCGACGGCTCTGAAAGCCATCACTATGAGGGAAATTCATGGAGTCACTAGACCAAGGAATAAACTTGGATACCAACACTGGGTGGCCGGGCGGTCAACTCTTCCTACCAGGTGGCTCGCAGCCACTGCCCGGATGATCCCTGAGGCACTTCCTCCCGTTTTTTTCTACATATCCTCTCGGGTATGGAAACTAAGCTTGATGTTAAATTTACCAAAACAGAACCGAGACGACAAACACACCACCAAGACTGTACAAATGTTACACCAGATCACATAAAAACGATTTGGGGGGGTGGGCAGAGAGAAAGCCTCGAAAGTGTTGTAACTAACAAACAGCATCCCAAATTCTATGAGTAAATTTTCTTTAAAGGGTCCTACATTTCAGAACTACAACCAAGTCAATTTCCTATCCCCTCTCTTCACATGGGTAACGAAGATTTAGCTGGCTTATTGCCATTTGGATTTTTGCTCTGAGATTATGCCTGTTATAGAACCACAGGTGGATTTTTTTTTTTTTTTTTTGAGGATCGTGGAATGATGTTTTTGTCTTAGATCAGAAGAAACACGGACTTTCAGAGGACTCAAAACTTTGGAACTGTGAACCTCTGGAAATTAACCTCAGCTTTGTGAGGCAGAAACAATAGAAACTGGGTGCTATACTCAAGAGGAATTCACCACAAATAGAGTATTTTAAATAACATAATACGAGCACTGAACGTCTGCATATTTGGTCATGGTTTAGTATTTAGCTTTGGGTTATAAAAACCACAGAATAAACACCCTACCCAAACGCTGCTTTACCGATTAGCACCCTGGCTGACTTGAGACACAGGCGAGTCAGTAAATGCACAGTAAAACAGGGCCATAGACGCGATGCAGAGGGGAGAGGGAGATCCAACTGAATTTAATGGCATTCTGAAAGACTGGAAGTTGATACCACAACAGAGGCTACTTCCTACTCCAAATTATGGCAGAGAGCAGTCAAAATGCAAAGTGGCCCTTAAAGCAACAGTACAAATAACACACCAGCAGGAGCAGGTGGGGGAGAAAAAAGTCATCTGTAACATTCTATAGGTAATGCCTCTGAAATAGCACTGTGGTTAACCTCCAACTGTCAGCACACTCAAATTCAATCCCTTAATCAGTGACGGATGACTAGGAATTTCTGCCAACCAAATTTTAAGGGACCAGAGGGACTGACTGGCAAAAAAAACAAAACAAAACCATGACAAGCAGATAAGCACTGAGGCACTAGCCTCAAGTTTTAAAGTAACGAATTAATACAATAGATGTTTTTAATAACTTGCCACTTGGTCTTTATTCTGAGGAGGGCTGGAAGTTAAAAAGTTTCACCTAATACCAAAAGTGAGAAACAGGGAAGACTTTTAATTTCACCAACCACCCCACCCCCGCCCCGGCCTGGTGGAATTCATGCAAATTGAATTAAACTGTTCGCAAAACCTCCGCGATCCTTCCACATCTGTCCGTAACGTACTCGGTTTTTTAGTAATTGGATCTCTAGGATAATCACATACTCTCTTGACCATGCAACCTGATTAATAATGAATGAACATTCCTGAAAAGAATCACTTGGAAGCACAGCAGATGTCTTTGGGGATATGAAGGCTTTAATGATAAAAATTAAGGAGAAATGGGAGCTAGGTCACACTGTCTGGTTATTTTAATTGAAACCTAGTCTTCCAAATTTACTTAACAGAATGCTTAAATACACCTTCTGGAGTTCATTTATACAAGCAGACAAGAAAAAAAAGACACCAATGACAATGCAAAAAAAGCCGTCCTGATTTCTCCAGGACCAACTGCCCCCATCCCGCTGCCTTCACAGTACAGAAACCCCCGCGACAGTCTCATCAATGCAATTTGTCCTACTGTAAGACTGATAAATAGGTTAAAAACAAGAAATAGCACATCTGTCTTTACTAGTTCTTAGCATCTCTCCAGACTCTTACAAAGAGATCACCTCGAATACCCACCAATGGGCTGCACCCTAGTTCTTGTTGAAGAAACATCGCCGTAGGCAGAGGATGGGGACCCACGAAATGACAGACAGGCCACCGAGACCAGATGGCGGGTGGCAGGCCGTGGCGGAGCAGTCCTGTGTGTCTGGGAGAGCGTCAACCGTGAAACACAACAGGAAAATCGACGCGACAATTCCAGGAAGGCCAGCTCCACCTCATCCCACCCCGCCACGGTTGCCGAGTTGAAGAATCAAAACTCCCTCTTGCTTTCCAACTGCCTTTTCCACACAGCTCGGCAGGGCTTCCCTGTGCTCTCGCCCACTCAACGTTCAACTCGAGCCAAATGAAAAGGCAGCTCGGGGCAGATTAATACCCACTGCCTGGTCCCCCCCAAAAATGATGACTTGGCATGGGGATCTGTACCCTCCTTGCTCAAGGGGACCAGCAGCGGGTCAAGTGTCCCGCAGCTGAGTGCTGGGTGCCAATTTCCCATGCTGCCAACAGGAGCGTCCTGTCCAGCTCCCGGGGTCAGCAACGGGCGCTCGCCTCCCTTGCCCCCCGAAGCACATGATCACATTATGTGCTGGACGCCGGGTTGTTGTTGCTGTTGTTGTGGTGGTGTTTTAAATAATATACTGATTATTTTGTGTCTATCTTCTGAATTAAAATATAATACCTGGAAGGAGTTTTTTAAAACATTACATCAAGAAGAACTATCTCTCGTACAGACACAATAAAGTGGTTATTTTTTCCTTCCCAAAATAGAGATCTAAATTGCAATCTATCATCCTGAGAAACAAATGAAAATACCTGTGTACGAAACACATACATAAGCCTATACACACAGGAGCAATACATATATACACATACATATATGCATATATTATGCATGCATATAACATATCATATAGACATACGTTTATATATATGTGTAATGCCTACACATACACATAAGAGCAAATCCGTGATGGGTGTCCCAGATTTCAGTTTCCAGAATGGCAAAGAAAAGAGTGAATTGAGAATGGAAAGTAATCTTCTAAAAACTGACTGTCTAAAGGAAGAAGAGGAAGTAGTCTTCCCAAGAGCAAAAAAAAAAAAAAAAAAAAAGTCCTACCCTGCAGTTCTTTCAAGGATGTTGCTTATCACCACGCAAGACAAGAAACTGCAACTAAAGTAAATCATCAGGAAAGTGTAAAAAAACCAAACCAAGCCAAAACAAAAAAACAGGCTGACTGCAAACCGGCACGATTCATGTGCAAACCCAGACATCTGGCCTCCACCACCACCAAAGGTGTGTAAGAACTTCTTGCTAAAGGGCGAGCAGGAGGCAAGGACGGTCTCCTCCTTGTTGCCTGGCTGGAACGTCGAGACGCCTACTTTCATGCCATTGCAACACCTCATGGTAAACCAAAGCATGCTTCACATGTTTGGACATAAAAATGCAAACATATACTCTCTTGGCTTATGTCTGTACAAATCATAATTTCATTTGTCTGTTAACAATAAACAAAGGGATTACTCAATTTCACATACCGATGACTTCCCAAAGAAGTCCTCACTACCCACAGAAAAGACACGCGTACATCAAATAGAATTTAAAAGAACTTTTTCATCATGAGATTTGAAAGCATTGCTTTGTTAAAACAACATTAAAATTGTCAAAATTTCTGCGGGACATGGCTAACTTGTCTGTATTTTGGCGCTGCGGGGGGGGGGGGGGGAATCAGCCTGAACCTCTAGAGTTGAAACACCAGGAAACAAACACGTACTCCACCCCTCAAAAACAAAAGAGAAGGATAAACAACAACAACCTTTAAAATCTTCTACAGAGCCTAATCTGACAACCTCTACAGGAGATTTCCCACCATCAGAGGGTCTCAGACATTTCATGTCTATTACAGTTGATAGGAAGAAAGAAAACATCCACTGTTAAAGGCAAATGGGACTTATTTCACATTCAGTTGAAAATGACCGATGTCTCCCCGGTCTATGCTGTACCGAGTGTCAGGCAAGAGTTTGGTCCTGAAGGCAGTGATAGCAGACGCAAGAGAGGAGCAAGAGAGCGAGTACTTGTCACACCTAGTCTCCTGACAGAAGTCTAAATCGCCTCTCCTGGAGAGTGGACCGCCACTGTGATGCTGGTGGAAATGGAAGCCACCGCTGATTCCGGTGAAACCACGTGCAGATGAAAAGCACTTCAACACCGCCTTCCCTGAATGCTCTCCCAAGTGGTTTCAGTTCGACAGGCATTTCTATACCCATTCGTAGAACTGCTCTATGTCTATATAAAACCCTGTATATGTGGTTTCACTTATTTGTGGAACATAAAGAATAGCATGGAGGACATTAGGAGAAGGAAAGGAAAAATGAAGCGGGGGGGAGTTTGGAGGGGGAGACGAACCATGAGAGACGATGGACTCCGAGAAACAAACTAAGGGTTCTAGAGGGGAGGGGGGGGTGGGGGGACGGGTTACCCTGGTGATGGGTATTAAAGAGGGCACGTTCTGCGTGGAGCGCTGGGTGTTATACGCAAACAATGAATCACGGCTCACTACATCAAAAACTAATGATGTACTGTATGGTTACTAGCGTAACATAATAAAATTAAATTAAAGTAAAATCCTATATATGTCCACAATGGAATTGACTTTTGTAGTCCTATATAAATAGGTATGTGTATATATGTACACACCCACATGCATCCACATACAAAAGCACCTTTGCAAAATTACTTGGGACACTTGATGGAATTCACTCTTCACAAACCCCTCAGTTACAACATCCCTCCTGCATTAGAGAAACGTTCCCTCCCTCCCCTGCACAAAAATGGAAACCTGTACATGATTTAGATATTAACCCCCCCCAATGCCTACTCATATCCGAAAAGGGTTACCCAGAAAATTGCAAAATGACGTAAGAGGTCTAGTCTCTGAAGGGCAGACTGGCTGAGCTGGATTGTTGCAAGGAGGTTCCACCTGGAAGAACGCTTGCCAACTGGGAAAGCCTTTTCTTACTTCATTCATACGATGCTCCTCCAGGAGGCCGAGAAAGCGCACACTCTCTCCTTCCCACTCATTATCCACCAGGAGAAAAATGCATCAATAAATAGTTGCTGATGGTGGCCAGCATGGCATTCCCCCATTGTTCTCTGAACACCGAAAAGCTGACGTTCAATGGCACACACAACTACTCGGGTCCCATGACTCACTGAAGTAATGACAATGTCACATAGTAACCGATTCCTATTGTATGGACAGATCGGGAAATTCTCTCAAATATGATAGCCCCTTTCCTCAAAGGAAATTGCTTTCTCTCTCAACTTCACAGTCAGCCACACACAAAAACCTCAGGTTCACAATGCCCTGAAGCTACTTTGCGATCTTAAAAAAATAGAGAAAAGTAACCTTTATTCACAACTCCTGGTTAACTATTATGAAGAACAAGCTTTAAACGTTTCCCGTGATCACTGAAGCCCTACAGTCAGGGGATGAAGTCTTTTTTTTTTTTTTTTTTTTAAGGCAACAGAAAAAGGAGTGACTCTTTTGTTCTGAATTATTATTGTAAAAGCACCACATGAGAGAAGGGGAACGATGGGAACATGGCAATGAAAAGGACGACCGTGCTGACAGACGAAAACAGGATATTAAGAACGGCATCGGAACTGTGAGTCCTCGCAGAACAAAAGCAGGAGGCTTCTTGGGAGAAATGTGAGCAAAAATACTTTGAAAAGATGTAAATGCTAATGGATGAATGAGCTCTCCAGGCAGCAAGAAACCTTAAGAGTCTGGGGCAGTAAAATTAGGTTATCATTAAAACACACACACATGCACGCGCAAACTATCATAAAATTAAAACTGCTTTCAAATCACATTAGATCACTCACTTTTCAACCCACGAGCCACTTCCTGACATTTCTAGGTGTTTCTGACCCATCCAAAATAAGATACTGTTTTTTATTAAATAACTGAGCGAACTTGGTGGACGTTCATAAGCAAACAGAATTTTTTACAGAAAGAAAAAACATCTCTCTCCATTCGAAGCATAGTCTCACACTTTAAATACAACCTTAAAAAAAAAAAAAAAAGGGAGAGAGCGCTTTCAAGAACCCCCAGGGAAGCTACCCAATGGGTTCTTCGCTGAGGAACAATCATCACGACTAAGTAGCTCACATGAATGTAACCGATCAGTTGGGTCAAGGCATGCTCTTACCACCTTCTACTTTTCTTCTAATGCAAATTCTGCTAAAGCTGCTAGTAGGGCAACACATTTAGTGAGATCATCAGAGTTCGTATGGTTTACTGGACTTACCACATAATGAGAGGTATAATGATCATTACTGCAGCCTCTAAGCTAAAGCGTTCAGAAAAGCAAGTAATAGGGTGCCTGGGTGGCTCAGTTGGTTAAGCGACTGCCTTCGGCTCAGGTCATGATCCTGGAGTCCTGGGATCGAGTCCCGCATCGGGCTCCCTGCTCGGCAGGGAGTCTGCTTCTCCCTCTGACCCTCTTCCCTCTCGTGCTCTCTGTCTCTCATTCTCTCTCTCTCAAATAAATAAATAAAATCTTTAAAAAAAAAAAAAAAAAAAAAAAGAAAAGCAAGTAATATACCCTGTCCTGCAATGCCTCCAAAATGGCCGTCTCCTTCCTCTTCCGTGTTCTCTGCTACTCCACTTCTGTCTTTCCCCATCCTCTCCTTCTCTTGTAAGAGGAAGGGAAAACTCATAGGCTTTCCTCTTTTAGACAGTGCATTTCATCTGGCTTTCTCTGTGATACGCTGGCAGAAAAGATGGGGTTAAGCCCCGAGCTCAGTTGGCCCAACTACCCTTGGTCTAGTTTTGGGGTGAGACCATTGGCGTGGTGTCGTGCAAAGAAACGCGTACCTTGAAACCAGATAAGCCTGAGTTCAAACCCCGGCTCTGCCATTTCCTAACCAAGGCGGCCAGAAGCCAGCTACTCGACATATCTTCTACTCACAGATCCTCTGACTATCTTCTACAGTTTCCTTATCTGTAAAACGCAACAATGAGAGCAATCTCAAGGGTCTTCTGAGGATTGAGGCAGAGTTGTAAAAAGTGCTGGCAAAACTGTAGCTCCCACACCCTCCTTCCTCTATCTGTAT